TATATATTACACGGACTGAGCTTAGTCTGTTAGCTTTAGCGTTAGCCCCGACGCTTTCACCATATGTATGTATTAGCTCAGCGCTACGCATTCTTCTCTCGTCACTGAGGTCCTCCATACACATGACAGAGAGGGGAACTGAAAATATGGATGGAGGACCTCAGTTTAGCTTGTTTGTCGCGCTAGCGCCGAGCTAATACATTTAAGACAGTATAGCGTCGGCGCTAGAGCAAAGGCTAACAGGCTAAGCTGAGGTTCTTCTTCCATGAAGCAGCTCTGTTGTCCTCCATCTACATTTTTAGTTGCAGGCTGAGTTATTTCTACCTTCTCCTCTCTGTCAACGCTCTCTGGTTTCATTTAAGAGTTGATTGTCAGATACTGTCCAAGATTAACCTTCAGGGTGGATATAGCTCGCTCACACTGAGGACCTATCCACATCATCATTTACCCAGAATACTTTGTGTGTAAATAAAATGGCTCTGTCCGTGTTAAAATATATTTTTAAAAATTTACAAAACTAAACAGTATTTTTACAGTCTTTATTTTACAGTTAAAATCAATGTTTATCAATTAAAGTCTAATGTTACAACTAGTCATGAATCCCTTTAAATAAACTTAAGTAAAATAAGGTAAATCCACTCGTACATTTCTCTTAAGTGGCAACTGCAAGGAGGTGAGTCGGTGACCCACTAATGTTGAAAACATTATTTTTTCAACTCAGCTGCATGTTTTCTGGGCTCTTATGTATAGACACGAACGCACATGCACATACACACAGCTGAGAAACTCCAACCGCAGCTTTCCATCCACAGCTGGCTGCTCACAGTGCAAACAGAGTGGACAGAGAGCCACAGCAGAGCTCATACTTTGCCCTCCACATCAAGGATCCTCAAACCTGCTATAAAAACTCTAAAATATCCAATCAGCTGAACTTAATGACATGTCATTAGCATATATGTTAGGCAATAATAACAGCGACCTGGTTTGTGAGTACCTCGTGCGTGTGTGTGTGTGTATGTGTGTGTGTGTTAAGGTCTTGTTGAATCCTCAGCTGGCAGTGCCAACCCACTGTGCATGCTCACATTCAGCCAAACCATCACCATAAAATTCTTGGAGACAGACACAGATGGTCTTCTGTGTCCAGCGCTGACTAACCATAAAGGGCGTGTATGTGCAAGTGTGTGTGTGTGAGATAGAGAACGTGTGTGTCTCAGTAGCTCTGGAAGCCCAGTGGAGAACACAGGTGGGTCTTGCCCAGGCAGTGACGCACACACACTTGGCCCTATGTACCTCACACACACATATGAGTTTGTATTGGTCTATTTTATTCAAGTGGTTAGGCCAGTGGGTGTGTGTCTGCGTGTGTGTGTGTGTGTGTGTTTAAGTGACTACCTAGGAGGTGGTGGTGGTAGTTGGTGATGGGAGATTACAAGATTCAGAGTTTTGTAACATTAGAGAGAAAGAGAGACCACCAAAGAAGCTTCGAATCTGAAACACCACTAATTACTAACACCAGGGCTCCTCCTTGTCATGACCCCCACATCCTCCCTCCCCATTACACACACACACACACACACACACACACACACACACACACACACACACCCACACACACACACACACACACACACACACACACACACACACACCCCGACCCCCACCTCCTGTGCCAACCCCCCACTATAAAGTTGACCCCTACTATCCCCCTTCCCAAACACGCAGTGCTTTGTCAACAAGCTCTGGTCAGCTCCAAACAAAGAAASCAGAAATGTGAGGGGTTTTTGCGACATGCCTAGGGTCTGCTAATCCCCTCATACTGGCTCTTTCTTTCCTTCGTTCTCCTTCCTTCTTATGTCCTCAAAGCAAGAAAAGAAAGAATTGCACTTTCTTTCTTGCGTGCTAGYTCGCTTTCCCTTCGCTTCTTTCTTCCCTTCTCCCGTCTCTCTCATTCTTTCATGGCTTTGTGCGTGCACCTACACGGGTATGATRAGGGTGGCTGGCTGGGGTCCCTGAAAGGCTTAAGAAAAGATGGTAAGGGACAGAAAGGGAGGCAGCAATGGTGTTGGGGCCTTGATGAAAAGAAAAGGAGGAGGAGTAAGAAATTGAGATAAAAGAAAGGGAGCCTATGAATGAGTGCATTAAAATCTGGACTCAAGGCCAACATGAGTCTCTTTCCACCAAGATTTTTGGCTAAGAGACTAAACAAATCAATCTACATGCTAATTTTACTGTAGCCACTGTTGCTCCCTGTACAAGTTATCCTCGTCGCAACAAAGCAGTCAGCTCAGTTGAGCCCAATCTTTGTCTACAAATATTCATCACGCCACAACAGTAGAGTCGGCTGTTTTTACKGCCACAAAAAATATGACGTCGATTACTTTCAATTTTTTTCCCCACACAGATAAGTTGGAGCCTATTTTAGTCCTTTTATGTGGTATTTCAACTCTGAAAGAATTTGAACAGACCCATTTAAACATCTGATTTGCAAAAAGATAAAAAGGTTGCAGATTCTTAAACATTTACGCCAATTCTTTGAAGGTTTGGTGGTTGGAAATTTTGCCAAATTATTCCTTTCTTTTTTTTTTAACCAACTACAAACAAACAAACAAAAGGCAATTTTAAAAGGTCAGATTCAACTTGTAAAATAGTTAAACAGGAAAGTAAATTCATATGTGACGATGTAATCACAGATGTGTGAAGTCACAAAGCCAAACTCCTTCACAACGAATGGGATAAAAACGGGGATATTGGAAACATTAAAGCATAAGCTTTAAAATAAAAATAATAATTTTAACTTCCAAAAAGAAATCTCACATGAACCAACTGAAACATGTGAATGTTCAGCAGCTCTGAGCTGGTTTGGCACTAGTCTTTGGCTGGTCGCACACTAATAGATGCTTTGTTCACACAACGATTCCTATTTGACCTCAGGGAGCACAAAAGACAAAACCTGCAACACCTCCTTCCAATAAACACACACACACACACGAGCATCTGTCTTACACACATGAACACACACCATTCGGGTTAGAGCATCAAGAACGTTTGTAAAATGAAAAGGAAAATATGTCAAATGAATGAGAATGTGTACCATAGCTTCTACTAATAAAAAAGTAAAATTAACATTGAAAGAGGAAACATTTTATGCTTTGATAATAAGTTAGATAAATAGCCCTGAATTTAAAGACCTATTAGAACATAAAACTTGAAAAAAGTTGTAAATTTGTTTTAAAATATTTTCTTATAAACAACTGCTGCCCGTTTCAGAATATAAGTGAAAAATCAAAAAAATGCTTTTACAGTTTCTTTTTTTTCTTTCAGAGGACTTGAAAGTACATGTTCTCAACAAGTGTGTGCATGTGTCTTTACAGATGTGTGTGTTCTCACCCTTCCTCAATTGTAACCCCATGCATGACGATGGAGTTGGTGACTTTGACCTTCTCCTTCACGGTGGTGGAGTTCCCGATAGTGGATCTTTTTATGGAAGTCTTATCTGCTATCTGGCACAGAGCTCCGATCATACTGTCTGATCCCATCTGTGAGCAGAATCCAAACACTAACACAACCCAGAAATACACACATTCTGCACAATAAACAACATATTTTTGACTTAGCAAACTATTACATCTCGCTTTTTTAAACCCTCCATTTCAAGAGGAATTTTAAAAAGAAAGGATCTGACGTGCGGATTGGATGTACCTGACATTTTTCAGAGATGACAGCAGATGGATGAACTGCTGGCTCCTCAAACAGCTTTGGAGCCTAGTTATGAGAAAACAGCAAACAAAGTGATATAGGATATTTAAAAATGGAATAGTATAAAACAATTTGTCTAATGCCAAAAGGTTAAGTAATAAAATGCTCGTAAATCTTTAGGTAAAAGTGTTTCCTTTCATGGACATCTCTGAGTAAAAGAGCTAAGTCTTTACCCTGGGAAAAAAAAGATGTTGTGCAAGAAAATGTCTGCACTTATAAAATCCTGCTTGACTTCATATACAAAAAAACATTTTTAACTTGTAAAATAAAGAAACACATATTGTGAGGACACACATCAGTGAAKAAGGCATAAACTGTCTTGACTCACCAGCCGATTTGCTTCTATGTAAGCAGCGAGAGTGTTAACACGGTAGCACAGGCCCTGGTCCAAAATGTGAACATAGCAGCGCAGCTTCCCCCCATGGTAAGCCTCACTCATGTCACCATGGTGGTCGTTCCAACAGGAGCGCTCCTGGGCCAGCTGGAGGAGAGACTCGTCCCGTGATGCGATAAGGAGCTCTTAAAAGAGCCAAGAAAAAAAGACACAACGTTAGATGTTTCTTCTAATCGATGGGCAGGATTTCCTATTTGATGTCATCAAGCTGTAAGATGCAAAACAACATAGACTTCAAACAATATGGATCCAAACAACTCAGACGTGTTGGATTTCACCACCTTATTAGATAACGTTAGTACAAACAGTAACCTTGGTTTGTAGAGTCGTCATTTTTTTTCTGGGTTTGATCCTCTGACTCATCTTTCATTTTCTGACGGTTAGCTGTCTTTGAAAACTGCTTGCGCACCAAATATGGCACCAGCTCACCACGAATTGATGAAATGGACCTAAGAAACAGAGAAACGAGAGGTTAAAAAAATGTATCCTGTAGCGGCACAGTGGCTCAGTTGGTAGAGCTGATGCCTCTCAGCAAGAAGGTTGCCGGTTCAAATCCCGGCCTGGGGACCTTTCTGGGTACAGTTTGCATGTTCTCTCCGTGCATGCGTGGGTTCTCTCTGGGTACTCCAGCTTCCTCCCACAGACCAAAAACATGACTGTTAGGTTAATTGGTAACTCTAAATTGTCCCTAGGTGAGTGAGAGAGTGAATGGTTGTTTGTCTCTATGTGTGTCCCTGTGATGGACTCCGACCTGTCCAGGGTGTACCCCGCCCCTCGTACTGTGACTGCTGAAAATGGGCACCAGTGACCCACGTGACCCTGAAAGGAATAAGCGTGTACAGAAAATGGATGGATGAATGTCATCTGCAGCAAAAATTATGAACGTACTTTGGGTTTGTGATTATGTTTTAAACTTAAATGGTATATTTTATATAAGTATGTCCATTTCTTGTTTTAGCACCTAAAGTTTTCAGTTGAATTTATACAAAAACAGATATTTCTCTCAGTATATCAGAAGATGATGTTCTCTTCATCATTTTCTTCCTCTGTGCGTTGCACTGTGGTGTGTTTTACTCAATGTTCTTCTTCACTAACCCATAGCCCCAAACCCCCTCCACTTTCCTTCTCTTACTTTCTTTTAAAGGGAGATTAGAATTTCCATCTGAATGATAGGAGAAAAACAACAGTTACTCTGTCTATTTCKGTCGTTGAGCAAGAGACAGAAAGAACATGGAGGAGGAAGGAGGAGAGCCTGAGAGAAGTGATGAAAAGAAAGTCCGAGAAAAGGGCCGAAGAAAGGAATGAGTCATCTAACAAGGGAGACAATATATAGTGGCAGCCGAGGGGGCATTAGTGATGCAGTGATTGATGCAAGACTTATATTTACATCTCTTTAACATTAACTAAAAATACTCAAAGGGTGAGCAGATTTTTTCTTTTAGTTTGAGTTTATTATATGGGATGAGAGTTGTTTGGTGATGAAATCACAACTTTTGAAATACATTTAGATTTTCACCATCTGATTTTTAGCCTGGTCAAGTGTATTCATGGGACAGTTTGCTGAAAATAGWTAGAAAACATGTCAATAAGAACTTCTTATCACCTTTATGAAAGTTAGGTTTCTTGTAAGTTTAAGCATCAGCATAATGCCCTTATGCTAACTGATAATTAGCACAAGGGTATTAGCATTTATTGCGAAACACAAAATCCAGATTAGCACTGACCTCATTTAATTTGAAAATAATTAGGCTATTTACCTGTAATAATTCTAACCAGGTTCATATTTGCTTTTATTTGTGCACCATCAATTCTCTACTTTTACCACACAATTTCCCACTAAACCATAACTTTCAGGACATGCTGATAGGATACAAATCCTCCATTTAGAGAATATAAACAGCAGGCAGTCACAGAAGTCTCCTTGTCACATGGGCTTTAGTCCAAAGGCTAAGGGCCAAACAGCCTGTCTCAGTGGCACATAGTAAAACAAATTAACACCTGGCTAGAATACCCTGCTAACAGAGCCTTTCAAAGCCATACACGGCATGTAACCATGCTTAACACTTGCTACAGATTAAGCAGTGATTGAGAGTTCAAGCTGATGTGGCTGTAGGGCAGAATGCCTGTATCTTACGTCCACAAGCAAGTCTGTTGGCGAACGTATTATGGTACAAACAAACTTGTTTAGAAATTGACATATAAAATTCAATTTGCAACAATCAACTCTCCAATTCCATTTAATAATTTTCAGGAAAATAGCACTTACTTGTTTTCTGCTAGAAAGTCAACAACTTCTTTTTTCAGACAGTAGAGATGAGCGTCCACCAGGCCTGTTTTAATGTGCATTCTGGGATGTCTATAGATCAAAAAGAGAAATTAAGAAACACAGAGTCATTAGCATTATATTAACGATGCATTTCTACAGCTTTGTCAATTTTGTAGAAGCACAAAAAAAGCATAAAAACAAAAATGTGCATTGGAAAACAGTATGGATTTACATACTTGTACACAACAGAAACATCAGAAAATAGTGGTATCTGCCTATTATCCTCTGCCAGCTAACACTGATGTGGGTCGACTGAGTTGCTGCCATCAGACAGGTTTATGTTGACTTGGGGCACCACATGCACACAGACACTCATGCATTCACTCATTTGCACAATTGTTTCCAGATGGAGACAGTGTGGCGTGAGGCTGTGTGTGACATTTATAGAGCGAAAGCCAAAGTAAACCATGTCATCCTTTGAGTTTCAATAAGCAAATCCATCCTCACCTTTTCACCATCTTTGATTTCCTAACATCTTCCACTTCTGCCCTTTCAATCATTTCATAATGAAACTGTAGGGTGCATTGTTCCTAAAAGGACCATACCAAGCTTTACATGCTTCAGCCTCCTAACTAGTAAAATCGTATAACCCCCCATTACTGCTCGCAGTTTATCAAAGCATGCCACACTGATGTAGAATTTCCTAAAAGCAAAGCAAAGTCTGTGTCTCATTATCACAAAACAACAACATGACTTTGGCAGAATCAAAAGCAGACGTGATGCTCGCTGTTAACAGTTTTGTTCACATCTGATTTATTATTCCATACTAAATGAAGCAGAGGCTAAAGGTGGGTGAAACTATTTCCCTGAAAGCACGTGAGCAAAGTACTGAAGTAAAAAAAAAATAAAAAATTGTACTCGCTGTAATACTGCATACACAAAAGTTAGACCAAATAAAAAAAAAGGTATCCATTTTCTTTCTCTGCTTTTCCTTTTAAGGGCAGCTGGTGCCTATCACCAACAGTCATTGTGCGAAAAGCGTGGCACACCTTGGACAGGTCACAAGTCCGTCAGAGTTAACAAAAAATAGTTTATATTTAAAGATGGAAACCACTGATGTAAAAAAAGAGTGTAGATGGATGGAGAAAGTGTAATATGCAGATTGAATTTGCTTGCAAATACAGTTTGGATGTGTGCCATCTGACTGARCCAAACCCAGGTAATTTAGCAACCTATGAAATGGGGGGGAAAAAGCTTAAAAAGGCTAAGTGTGCAATATACTACATTTGCAGTGAAGGACTGTAAGCTGGGGCACACATCCTGCACAACCAGATGCTGAAAGCTTTAAATCAAATATGGAACGTTTGTCCAAAGATTAATATTTTTATTCAAAAGCATAAAAACCTATACCTGTACAGACATGCTCAGCAGGTGTTTGTCAAATGTATTTGCTCCTAAAACTTTTCCCAGGTGTATGTCTCTGTGAGTGTAGAATGGGTGTAACGTGAAATTTATGAGGACACCCAGAATGTGACATCCTAGTTTGGCACCTGCAGGCAGAATTAAGACGGAGGTTTAGATAAGTCAGTTACAGCCAGGTGTGTGTGTTCAAGGGGTGGACAGGTCTCCCAAAAAAAGGTATGAAGAGAATGTGTAGGGTTTCAGGATGTTTCAAAGAAATATATGTTTCAACCATAAAAAAATGTCTAAGCAGTAGCAGTGAGGTCTCACAATTAAGCTTTAAGAAAATAATTTGACCTGTAGCAAAAGAAAAAAAAAAAAAAAAAACAACCTTTAGGGAACAAACACTAGATATGATGGCACCCGTCCAGAAGACCTATACAATTTTTTTCTTTTTGATTTTTTACCTGGATTACTGAGATGCATCAGGACACTAGATACTGTATGATGGCAAAAATTGTACTGCAACTAAAATTTGAACTCAGTTGTACAAGTACACACTTGTTACAGTAACTTCAACTCTAAAAATATCCTGAAGTTTTTGAACAATAAATATATCACCTTTGGTTTTATGTGATTTCTGGTTGTTGCAAGAGCTCCAAAGCTTTGCGTCGAAAGAAGCCAGACCCGAGAGTCTTCGGAGCCAAGGATGACTCAACATTTGGTCCATGGATTTATGACTGTCTAGTAAAATTATTTTCCAAAAAGAAAAGTTGGTGCTCTCTCAATCTCAAACAGACACGCTGCATGTCTTTTTTCATTCCTACTAAAACATCAGAGCAACTAGTGAGTAAGATGCAGCAGAATAACTGTTAGTGTTAATGGCTTCATTGGWTGAATTTTTTTTCTCAGACAAAACAAAGTTACATTTGGATATTGTATATTGACAATGCAAATTTATCACAACCCAAAAAGGTGAATAAAAATAAAATATTTGAAACATCTGTATCATACATTTTAAGTCCACCTTTAATTGCTGAATTCATGCATTTGTCAAATTTTACATAACATTTATTCAAAATAAATGGTATAATAACAAAATGTGCAGTAAATGTGCAGCTGCAATAAGAAAGCTGTGCCTTTTTTGTACTTAAAAAAATTGCTTGATTTTGGGAACGAATAACAAACTATTTGTTTTGATTAATTCTTTTTTACTTATTTTTGGCATCATTGTTAGCAGAAGCACCTACTGACAGTCCTGGACTGATATTTTAAAAGGTGTATGCAGTAAAAATACAATCTGTTTTTGCAATTTAAACATACTGAACAAAGATTTTTGCTGGATTTCTATGTCAACGGAATATWTCAGATTTTAAATATGTACAGTATAATTAAAAGTTGCTCCTTTCTCCAAACCTGTCTTCAAGCTGTTCTGACAGGTGGAGCTGTAATGTACCAGGCAAAGCTCTGCTGGAGTCCTTTCACACCGTTTAAGCGATTTCCAGGTCAAACAAACTCACATGTGCAGACRGTTTAAAGCTAACACACCTCAGTCATGTGGAAACCATAGAAAAGGAAAAGGGGGAAAAAACTGCAAAGGGGCTGAGGTTGAGCAAGGATGGAAGGATGAAAGAACAGATGGTTGGTTGTGTRGAGGGATGAATAACAAGAGAAAAACAGCTGAAATAATCAAGGAAGAAATTTTCAYTGAAATGAGGGAGCTAGAAAATTTCGAGGTGCCAACTGATGTCAGTTTTAACAAAAGACAAACAATAAGKTTTTATTCTGTAACCACAGTAAGGAACTTACAGTGTGTGTGGATGACTTTTGACTCAACAGCACTGATGTTCAAAACAGTAAGATCTTGTTAAATTACCTACTGGAGTGTTATAAAAAAAAAACAGAACACCAGGACTTTTACAACTACATCAGACATTTTTTTTATATCTGCCATATGTTGTATCTGTCATATGAGAGTGTGCAAATGATCAGAGCTGACTTTAAGAGTTTAAGCTTTTCACTGTAAGCCCCAAATGTTTATCTGTACAATCAATGCGTTTCCATAACACTGTGACAATGTGCAACTGTTTTCTGTCCACCTTGAGGTTGTGTTACRTGTGTTCCCGTGTGCGTTCATATAAGCATTTCTGGTTTGTGAGAAAAGACAGAATGTGTGTGCGTGTCTGCGTGAGTGTGGCCCAAGAGTTCCCTGAGCAGGGAAGCATACGAGCAGCTGCTCTGGCCCCCTTTTTGTTGGCCAGAATTTACAGTGGCTTTGGCTCCATGAAATATTTACGAGCTCCCAAAACACCCACTCTCACACATACACGCATTTTAGGGCTGAAAAACCCACCTAGAGTACTCTTCCTGTACCAAAAAACATCCTGCACGCCCAGCACAGAACTWTAAAAACACACAGAATTTAATTACAGGCCTAAGCATCTGCTCTGTTGAAGTACGGAAACAATTTATTTACCTTCTGTCAAACTTCAGACACCAAACTACATTTAGTCAAATAAGAACCTGAAATAGAAACATGCTGTGCTGGCTTGGCAAATTTTAGAATTACAATTATTTAGCTTTTGCTATTAAAACATGTAGATACTATACTTAGCACAAAAAGTAAGCAAATTTGTGATTTTTGCATTATGTCTTTGTTGTAACAATGCTTCTTGGCAATAACTTATGCTGTTGGAAAGCCTGTTAATTTCCCATTTAAATGGTGCCACACAGTTGTGGGCAGCGCTAATCCAAAAACTAGCTCTGCAATTTCTAAAGCGCTTATGAAAATGATTTAGGTCCACAACTTCAAAAACGCTTATGCCATAGAAAATCTAGCGGAAGCTAATTTTAAAGCACAAGTTCAATTTGACACTTATTAGCTGGCAACAATTCATGTACAATATATGCACAACATCGCCAACTAGCAGTGTATGAACCCTTGTACAGCTTAATCCTACAACCGCCGATTGCTGGGGATGTGAGTTCCTGAAACAGACCTTTAGCTCCTGGTGTAAACATTAAAAAGTTGTTGAGGGCGGCTAGTTTGGCTGCTTCTTTAAAAAGTTGTTGATGATTGCTAGTTCGGCTGCTTCTTTGTCTTTTTCTTTTGTTTGTTGTAGATTTTTCATTAAAGAAGCATCAATAAAGTAATTTTAAAACTGTTTATTGGAAAACTGAAGCAATGCATTCTGGGTACATGACAGATTTGATTTGTGACGGGAAACGAAAGCACGGAGTACAGGAAACTATCTGCAAACTTCAAAATAAGAGCTTGGATTTTAAAGTTTTCCATGTAGTTGCTCCAGTTGACTTCTAGATGTCTGTCTTCATCAGTATATCATCTTGAAATCATTTCTAACCCCGTTGGCCGATTGCTTCGACCAATTACATCAAGTATTGAGCTCCAGCATTTAAACTTTATAAAAAAAAAGGAAGCTCCGATTGTAAAGTAAAATAAATCAATACATACCAAATTTTAGTATGGATTACAAACGTTTACTGTTTTTGCTGGGAAAGTTGTGATTCATTGACAGCCATATCTTCCGCTGTTCAAGATAATGATGACTGGTAGATAATTAGTTATTAGCGGTACTGCATTTTAATTTTAGAAAGCGCAAATCGGCATATGAATTATAAAAATTAGTAAGACCGCTAAAGCGCAAACGAAATATTTAGGTCCGCAATTAGCGGATTTGTGCTTTAGCAGACTGGTGCCCACCACTGGTGCCACATTTTGAAGGAACATGCRTTTATGGGATGAGCAGTAGAGCTTTGGGTTCTGCAGTTGAAACATTTGCCAAATATATGCCAAACAGCTTATTTTGCTGTTGCTATTGACATTTGTTTTGAGCTTCTGGTACCAATCAGCATCCCGGTATAAGATCTATGATTTATTGCCAAGAAGCATTGTTACAACAAAGAAATAATACAACAAACACAAATTCTCTTACATTTTGTGGTAAGTTTAGATAGCTGATATCATTTTCATTTCAAGTGATGGAAATGTCAAAAACAAGTAGAAGCCTCTGATTCAATTGTTGCTTTTGATTATGTTTTAGGTGAGCATGGACAGRGAGAATTCACATTCATAATTATGTTTCAACAGTCCAAATGCCAAACCACTTTTCTAAAAAAATGTTAAATTTTTGCAATGACACAAATTTTGGACTTACTTCTTGATAATAGACTTCCTAATTGAGAGTCCATCTTCCAGATCTGCTTCATTGGCCATAAAGAGCAGCCTCTTCCCTGACGGATCCACACCAACAAAATCCCTTTGTTCAGCTGGTGGAACAAATATATTTTTTATTTTATGTATTAATAAAATCTGGACAGAAATATACATAAAATGCACAAAATTACCACTGTATTACCAATGATAAAGAATGTCATATTAAATTTATTATATTATAATTTTCAACATAATTCATTATTTTCTTACCTGTCTTTTTTTTGCCCTTCTGACCTGGGACTGTCTCTGTGAATTCATGGGCTTTGCTCATTAACATGGCCAGTGTTGCGTTGTGGGCTCTGAAAAGATCTACAACCTCATGAAGTGCCACGTCTGTTATTAGATCACAACTCACAACTAGGACGTCGCTCTGCAGAAAAACGTTGGAGGGACAAAAAAAATAATAGGTGAGACTTTGACAGTAAATTCAAAGCAAACCTTGGGGTCTATTTATTTATTTATTTTTGCTAAACTTGCAAAAATTTAGTTACGTGACCACTTTAGAATATTGTAAAACACTCTGACTTAAGACTGATGAAAAAAAAACTTTAAAAAGGTACACAGAATCGAACTTATTTAGATGTRGTAATATTTCTTAACTGGATGATGCAAAACCTAATGCAGTTCTTTGAGTGTGTGAGTAGAAGCATTATCAGTAAGATTCAGGGGCATATAGGTTAACTTTAATCATATTCTGATCTGGTCCTGGCGACAGGAAGCAGTCTCTGCAAAGATGAAGGAATCTGTAAAACATCTACTGACACTGAGGCTCAGATCTCTCAACTCTCTTCTCCATCGCAAACTGACAAGCATGCACACATGTTCAGAAACAGAGCACAAAAGTATGCATGCACATGCAGACACACTCATCGACGGACAATAATGTGCTTACATACAGCCCCCCCCCCCCCCCCCCCCCCCAATACACACACAAACACACACACACATACTGAGGCGACAGCAGAGCGGAGTCAGCTGGAGAGCCTGAGACACTTTGGCCTTTCCACAGCCAGAATTACTGGACAGGTCAGGACCACACACACTGACACAAATTCACACACAAACACATACTTCTCCAAGTGGTTGGTGGCTTCAATCCAAAACTGCTAAGTATGGAATCTTAAGCCACCATCAGAAACCTTTCTTCGTCACTGTACTTTAATGTTTGTTAGCTTTCATTTTCACCAACATTAAATAGGCCTCTCTAAAAAGACAAATAAATACTAYCATGCTTATTCAGATTGTTTTTACATGCATTTAAATAAAATGTCTCCAAACACAGGGTTTACAAGCCATTAAATATTTCATTTTAAGCAGAAATGGACTAATTCATTATAGACTAAATGCATACGACTTATTCTGTTTTAGCATTGAAGGATTTAGAGAAGTATGTAAAAGGYATTGAAGGTACAGGGTAAGCTTGATAATACAAGAGCAGAAATAAAAAGAACATATAATTGTGTATATTTGAAGTGTTCCTATTATAAAGGCTCAGTTCTGTCTGTCATAACTCTCTTTCTTCACCTTTTCTTTTGAGTCCTACAAGCAAATGTTAGTCTTATTTGYAGACCTAAGGTGAGTCTTTGAATCCAATGTACTTTTCGTTCTTCTGGCTAGCTCCTTCTGCACAATAATTAAGCCTGAATGATAGTCAAACAGGCTTTATGGATACAAAGCAAAAAGTGCATGTAAAGTACTCCTTTCACTAGTTTGAATTTCTGCGAAAAAAAAAAAAAGAGCATTAATCAGCATATACATCACCCTTTGTGGAACTTAACTGTTTGAAAAGGGAACAATATGAAATATGCTTCTTGTAATCTCTGTTTTTAGTAGTCAAGAGAAATGATCTCAGGTGCTCACTCAGAGATTCCTTTAAGTATTTTCTTTGGTAGCTTGCACCAAATCCCCTCATGGGATGGTGTTTGCGGAAAAAAAAGAAAGAAAGAAAAGACAGGACTAGGTCTGTCAGTGTGTCTATACTGGGCTGATGCATCGGTTTGACAGACGAAGTGATCTCCCTGCTTGGGTTTGGCAGGCCACTGGTACGATTCATCACTCGTCACCCTACAGACTGTGAGCGTGTGTAACTCAATGCCTCTAATCTTAGTGAGCTGCTTGAAGGATTAAACTGAACGGCTCTCAATGGGAGCGTGTAGGAGCTAGTCTTGTTTAACTGTGTGTATATGTGGATATTCCTCGTATCCATCAAGGAAATCTTTAACAATAACAACAAGAATCTGTGCAGACATGCTCTAATGCCAGAAGAAAAAAAAACATTTAAAACGTCAGTGTGTAACATTTATACAGATCTACTGACTGTTGTGCGACATAATAATCATATATATAACTGTTTCATTCTKTAGAGTTTATGAAAATAATGAACCATATTTTAGTTATAAAACCATGGGCATTTGAAAGAGTCAAGTGAGCACAGTTATGTTACTTAAGGGACACTGGTTCAAGATAAGACCATAATGATTTTTACAACCATCAGAAGCTGGTGAAAAGTAACTCAGTTTATTGTAATATGTAATTTGTCATTTTACTCTTTCTGCACCCTGCCACTCTGAGTAACTTGTCCAAAAAACAATGTAAGATACTGACAAAAAACAAYATTAAACTCAGAGCAGATCTGTCACAGTTTTAGTTTTTGTCTCTCCCTAAACTATAATTATAGACTTACAAGTTTAGAATAAAGACTTTATTAACTACTTAAATAAATCCTAATCTTAATTTAGTGTTTGCTTCATTCATGCTGTTAGCATACATAATGAAGCTTTCTCTTACAAGAACAACTAAATTACTGCTTTTTTGATCAAACTGTTTTTTTTGTAAACGTTTTAGTCACACAGTAATATTTGATCAACTTGAAGTAGTTTGCTTGTTATGTTTCATATAGCACTACCTTAATACTCAATAAACTAAAATCATCAAACTAAAYTGGCCAATTATAAACATATGTGGAAAGTCAAAACACAGTTGTGTGATGTTACCATTTCTTCATGCCTTCTTAAAAAAGTAATAGTTTGTAAAATCACAGAACATAACCATCATTCTGAAAACTAGTATCTGTAACTTTGCAGCAATAAAAATGAACTAGAATTAGTACTTTTATAAATAACTCACTGTTCAACATTACACAAAACCTCATAAATACGTCATTATGTCCACTAGAGGTCTGCAGACCCATGGCATATACAAGGGACACCCTCCTTCCTAATATACCTAAACACAAATGTTGCACAGATGTGAAAAACCGCTGCACGAGAATAAATGGTACAAAGAGTAAGCGGGCTGCACAGGGAGTTTAAGTTTTAATTATGACCTCATTTGTTTAAAGAGAAGTGGCTAAGTGGWGGGATGGTGGGATCACCAGGCAAGATCCAGAGGGGAGCCTGGAAATTGGAGTTTTGGGTCATAGAAAACAAGATAGCGTGGTTACGTGTGAGCATGGTTGTGCCTTTGAATGTTTGCATGTGTTATATAAAAGTGGAATGARGTATTTATGGTCATTGGTCATTTGGGGGAAAAWSAGGACTATCACAAATCAATGGCCACCATATATATTTACACACCCATCTAAACTTTCCCTACAATCTTCACCATATGTCTACTTTACCTCTAACCTTTTTGCAGTTGTTTAAGTGAGGACTTTTCATTGCAACACAGTTAAAAAAATCTGGTGGAGGTGGTTACTGGTCTCTGAGGTTGTATCAGAGAACTATTAGCTTTGYCTTTTAAAACCATTGATCAGTTGCAATACTGTTGTTTTTAACAAGACAATTGTGCTATTTTGCATTAGGGCAGGGCAATAATTCTACAGTATATATCGTGATAAACATGTGATCAATATCAATGGAAAATATGTCCTGCAATGTTGATCATTTCACTGAACTCTGATCCAGAACCACATGGCAAAGGAAAGGCTTTAGCTGCTCTACCTTTCATGGCCCAGTTAAAGAGTAACTTACTCCAAAATTAACTTTTTTTAGCTGATAAACTGTCTAGAATGTGTCTAAAATGTTATATAG